AAGACAGAATACAGTACACAGTTGATTATAAAACTGTTCAGTTTACTGTAATCTCACAATTACTGTAGAGTTAAAAATGTCTCAGTATTGTTTTATATTATGAATTAACACCACCACTCTGATCAGACCTTATTGGTATTGCATCTCTTTCACCTTGTCACTGTTCTTCTCAAAAGGAACTCTATATAATTGCCTCATGTACACCTGGTTTCTTCTAAGGACTCGGTTAGTGGTCGAGGGGCTCACTGAATTTGTGACGAAATGTGGCATAATCCTGGTTAACTGCACTCCAAATCTCCCAGAGACAAATGCTATTGTTCGCAACATCCATTTTAACAACAGTCCTTTCCCCTTCCGGACTCTTTCTCCACGTTCTTAATCCATTATTTATTGACATTAATTAGCTGATAATGTAACGTTTGTATTTTAACACAGAATAATCATTGAATAATTTTGCAGGTGCAGTTTTCAATGTGCAAAGTAAGGTTGACAGCACATGGAATTGGTTGCTTTTAACTGCAAACAGATAAATTCATTTAGTTTCTCAAGACTCACCTTATTGACATATGTGTCAATTGCTGCAATTTGAATGTATGCATTTGCTAAAATGTGCTTTTCATTTGCATTTTGTGTGAAAGCAATCTTGGTAGTGTTTTTCAAAATATGCTGCTGCTGTGGGGTTTGCATTTACCGTTTTGAACTTGTATGTCTCACTTAAGAAAATGTGTTAAAGCAATTGAGAAAAACTGTAATTTTGTTAATACCCTCCATTGCTCCAAATAATCTTCCTTCCTGATGCCTTTAATGACAGTGGCTATCAATAGATTTTTGGTGTTTGTACATACGAGAAGATTTTTGCTTAATTGTGTTTCATTCTTCATACCACAGTCTGTTATCCTCACAAATGGCACTTATAGCTTAGTTCCTTGGTGGATAACTACTGTATCTTTAGGCTGCTTATGTTGGACATTCCTCATTTCCTTTTACTTTATTGGAAATATTATGTTAGTATACAGAACTTCTATAAGATTTTGTTTTTGTGCTATAATGTAAGCTGGTCTGATGATAATACTGTTCATATTTTTAACGTGTTGGGGCATTCCAGTTATACCATATGAGTTACACATAGCCATATAGCATTATGTACACCACTCAGTTCAATTAGAGATCAGTTTTTAGTTCGGGCTTTGGAAACAAAAATAAATCATAGTCTTATAGACAGAACTATCCTTTGTCTGAGTGGAGACTTGGTAGAAGATGCCCAAATAGCAATAATAATTTAAGCTAAGAGGTGACTGGCAAGTCTAAAAGATGGTAAATAGAGGTATATTAGGGGTTCAGCCATCATAATATTCTTTCTCTGTCTCCAGAACTGAAGAAGCAAGAGTGTCCCGAGTGAGTGCCACCTTTCTACAGGCCAAAGCTCCAGTAATTTGGGTCTACTCTTTGAGTACTGAAACTTAAAAGGTATTTTTGAGTACTGAAGAGACAGTAAATGTAATGGAAAAGGGCCGTGTTTTTTATATTTTTTAGGGAAATTTTAATACCTTCTAATACCTGCAGAGTTTGTATCTCTGGGATACACCTGTTTTAGAGGAAGTTTCCTCCAGTTTTAGATATCAGACTGTCCTCTGAACAGTCAGTTTGATATGTAGAAACTGATATTACTGCCCTAAACAACAGTGTCTCAGTTTGCATTAGGGTTCTTTGTAGGGACGGGTGAGTGTAGCTTTGGACTGTAGAAGGCCTGGACTTAGGCACTTACAGTCTTTGTAAAGTGTGTTTTTTGTGTTTATTTTGTAAAATACTGTACACAAACCTTTTTTTCTCCTGTGTATTACTCTGTCATTAAACTGCGCCATAAACAAAGAAAAATTGTGGCCATAATGACCATCATTGCTGAATGTCATGCACATTTAATCAAGTTTATTTATTTTTTATATTTATCAAAATTGTCATTAGAGCTTGTTTACTTCAAATGCTGTGATTTTGATGCAGTCATTCAACACCTCATTGGGTTTAGCCTGTTCACAGCAACAGTGAGTATCTTCAGGGGCACAACATTGCTGGTAAGATCAACCACCAGTACCTCACAAAGGATGGGAGAAACTCATTGATGATGAAACTCAAGCACTTGACTAAAGAAGGTGTGAAAATGGATTGGAATATGTCCATTGTTAGTGGCAGGATAGCATAGCCAGATATCATGTTTTTTTTGTCCAGAAGAAAGAGCTAGCATTACTAGTCTCAAAGAACTGGTAAATAAGATAAAGCTTATTGCAGATCTCAATCATGAGATGAAGAATACAGTATGTGTGTAAATACCATTGTCATTGTGTTGAATAGTCTGATTCCTAAGGTACTGAAGCAGAGCTTACTTCAGGTGCAGGCTCCAGGGAAATTGAACAGTTAGTGACAGAAAGACAGTTTTTCGTGAAAAAGAGAACACTCTGTAAAATGATGGGGTTGTGCAGAACGTGCCATTAATTGACAAATGCACCATTTGCTGCAACGCTTTAGATTCGAGATTCTAACCTGCTGTTATGATTCAAAGCCACGTTGTTCTGTCAATACAACATATGGTAGAAAACATAGTTGTAGTTAATAGTATGATAGTTGTTTGTATCTGAACAAAATGGGTACCAGTGGGCTTGATACAAGGATCTATAGAGATTTTGTAGAACATTTAAGCTACTGTAGAATGGAAAGGGGGAAGAATACAGTCAATTTTTACAAAGGAACAATGTGGCGAAGATATAAAGAGAACCAAAGGTAAAATTTAAAAATAATGGGACTAGGTAGTTAGGTTCTCATTCCTAGATGCCAGGAATATTGGGAATACAGTGCAAGAACAAGGAACTAGTGGATCAGCATGTAGAATTGCAGCAAAATACCAATGGTGAATACCCAGCAATCTGGAAAGACAGGAATTATGGAAGATCTGGAGGGTATATTACTAAACATTGAACACAGACTTCAGGCACAAGACTAATCTAAAGGATTAGTAGTCTCAAAATCTGTATGGGTTGGGTTAAAATTGAAGGACAATAGTTCTCCAAAAGATTTAGGAATGTGCTGTTGACAACAGATATTTAGTATTCATATTTTAAGTTAAATCAAGGATGTGTATGTAAAGCAAAATATTTTATGATATACAATTTTGATATTCCTGCAGCAGCAGAAATTGAAGACATTAGACGCAGCTAATGGCTGGTTTCTTAGTCTGTCAACATACTTCAAAGAGGGAATGTCTGTATTGGTCTAGGCTTTTTAAGTTTACATTCAGTTATTAAGTAGAAAACAGGTGATAAAACAATAGAATTTGTAATTATCAAAAAATTTTAGTTATACTTTGAAGCTGTAGGGGGAGTGTCCAAAACGGAAGTTTGTAATTGCAGGTATTTAGCTAATAGAATGAAACAATTTCTGAGAAAAAAAAAAGTGGAAGAGTTATGGAAACATGTCATCGCTACATATGGGAACAATAGAGAATGTTCTTGAAGCACAGAACTGATTTATCTACAGCTGGAAAGTAGGGGCCCGAATGAATTGATAATGCAATTAAAATATATAATAAATACAAAAGCCCTTATAAAATAAATAAAAAATAACAGCATGTCATGTTGTGGTTTAACAAAATTAAGTACAATGATTTACATTTGTCAAAAGGATATTAGAAAAGTTGACAAAAAATGTTACTTGAATTACTTGACTATTAATACATTTTAATAAAAGCTAAAATATTTTTTTCAGTATTTTGACAGCAACAGAACAATAAAGAATGAATTGTCTAAGAGATAATGGGAAAATTTAGATTAGGAATGGGATATGGCTCATGGATTAAATTAATATTTTTTTCAGGTGAATATGAAGCACGAAATTGACAACATGCAGCAGGCAATTTTAAAGTACTGTATTAAATGGTAATCTCATAGATGAGACAGAGATGTTAGAGGTATAAGAAACACTTAAATTGGGCAAATCCTGTTGGTATTCTGCCAGTTACATCTTAGTAAGCAAGAGATTAACAAACTAACTCTTCCGTGGTCACTCAAGACAGGTCATATATTTGTCTGGGAAAGTGTTAATGCAGCTCTCATCCATAAACACACTGACAAAACTGAACCACGTATTAATTACTAGTTAGTATTCTGTTACTTTTAAGTTTATAAAAAAATGGTAATCTGAGCTAAACTACTACTATGGTAGGGAGTTGTCAGAAAACAATTCAGTAGAGGTATGTCTTGCAAATTAACTTGTTAATAATAATTTGAACTTGCAATAGCAGTAATGGATGAGAGCATTCGATATGGTATATTGGTGATATCAGAAGGGTTTTGAGTACTTAGTGTAAACTAGGAATTGTATGTTTTTTATTGTAAACTACTGTATGTGAAACCCTTTTTCTTTAGATTAAGTACTGTGGGAATATAGAACAAGCTTCTCAGCCATGTTGTTGAAGCCAATATCCTAGCTTCTTTCAAGAAACAGTAGGGTGAGATACTTGGATCTTTAGTTATAGAAAACAAATGATTCCTGTTGTGATTCCTTATGTTATTTTATTGTAAACCCTTTGAAATGGTATATTTTGCAACTTATTTTAAATTATGACCGTTATAATAATAGCTTGTAAAACTGTTGATCATTTACAAGAACCTAAGGGCAAGAACAAGGAAAGTAGAATCAATTTAAAGTATTGTAATTGTGTTGCACACATATTATGGCCATACACAAGGAGTGTTACAACAGAATCACCTCTAATAGAATTGTCTGCTTTTAAAAGAGATTGTACCTGTTAATACATGACGTTTGAGAGAGAAACAAACACTTGTTTGTTTTAGAAATGTTCTTCAAAAACCTTACATGCTCGATAATCTTCAGTCTAAATTGTGAAGTACAATTTTTATAGAGCCATAATGAGATTTTTCTTGTGATGGAAATTTAGTGAAACTTCCTGTTTGGGATGAGTAATTTTGGTTTAATGCCTGGTTTCTTCCTAGGTCCTGGGACCATTTGAAGAGAAAGAAGAATTGCATCCAGAAGATTTTCAGTTGCTAGAAAAGATAACACTGAGCACATCAGCAGAGAAAGTCAAAGTAAAAATCAAGCAGATGAATTGGAAAGGGAAACAGTATGTTGATGTTTTTACTTAATTTTCTGAGAAATGACTGGTACTTCCCCATCCATTAAATACCAAGTATTATTTCAAAATAATATGTAATCAATTTCCTGTACTTAATCCAACTATACAGGGAGATCTTCAAATTTCTAAAATATCTTTAGATTTTTTTTATAGTATGTATGTTTTTTCGGTCGGTTATACATGCTGGTCTTGGAATTTTAACTCCAGGATGCCTGTGGTTTGTAGGCATTATTTAATGTTTTTGAAACTGCACCTTTTGTGTTTTTAAATATTCAGTTTTAAAAATTTTCAATTCTGCTTTATTTTCTGTAAAAAAAAAAATCTTGGCAGTGTTTGCATTAGGACATTGTATTAGACAAAATAAGAATAGTTTGAGAAGTGTATACGTTTGCATTATATGCTTTAAGTTTTTCTGTGTGTGCATATTTGTTTCAGTTACTTAACACATCAAATAATAAGTAAGTGCATTCAGTTCAAGTACACAGTTTGGTAATCAGTCTTTTTTTTCTGTGCAGGGCAAGTGATTTCGTTATGAAAGTTGATGCTCTTCTGACTTCAGCTCACAAGGGAGAATCCAGGAAAGATATCCGGTTTATTAAAGATGAACTGAGGTAAGTCCGATTATTACAGATGCGGCAAACCTACAGAATCCCATTTCTGTTGTACAGCTTTGTTCTCTGAGCTACACAGTCCAGTCCATCAGAGGGCCATCACCCAAGCGGACACATGGAGAAAATACAAAGTGCATACAGAAAAAAGCACCCCACGAATTGAACCCAGGGCCACAGAGCTGTGATTGCTGCATTGCAAACCACTGCATCCCAGTGACGCCCTTCATTTTTCACGTTATGCTAATAACCTTTTTTTAAATGTATTGAGAAATGCAGTGGGTAGCTAATAAATTTCTAATCATTAGAGTCTGGAAAAAAATAGTTCATTTATAGGATGTAACTACAGTGGCCCTGAAGTGCAAAAGACAAGCAAATAAAAAAAAAAGATGCATTGCAAATAAAAAAGAGGTGCTGCAAACTGAAAAGGGGTGACACAAGCTAAAAAATGTGGACCTTCACATTTACAATCTAAAAAGAGTCAACATGCTAGCTGAAAAGAGTGTACAGTATGTGCAGTCATTAAATGTGAATTTAAAGGTGAAGACTCATAATCTTATAAAATAATGTACACATATTCTAAAAAGCAAGGGTGTGAAAACTAAAAGAGAGCATGCAAAGCAAAAAGAGTGTCGGAATCAGGTTGGTATGGTTTTGACGGTGATATAAGGTGATGTAAGGAGTAACCTGCATATGCATAACAGAAATTTTTAAGACTAGAAAGTGTAGACTGGTGCTTTGATTTTTTTTAATATCCAACTACAGAAAGTAGTTTTTTTCTTGAGGCAGGATAATTCAGGATTTTCTTAAGTTATATCTAGATAGACTTAACTCGATAATTGAGTTCATGTTAATTCCATTTCAAGAAAACCCAGGTTTAATTTATCTGGTTTAAACAGCGTGATGTAAGTTCATGCTGCACTTAAGTAGACAACGAGGGTCGAGCATTGAAACTTTCATCCATGTCAATTAAACCACGGCAAAAGAACAGACATCTTAATTCATTGACCATGAATGATGACTATTTTTGAGATTGCCTATATATACTCTATTTGTTCTCTAGACGTTAAAATCTGCTGTAATGCCAAGGAGTTGTACTGTAGCCTCTGCAAAAGCCAGAGAAGACACCTGGCAAAGAATCGACTATCATTTTTATGCAGCAGTTATATATGCATTTACAATAGTTGGACCATAACGGGGAAGACTTGGCAGAGGGCTAGGACAAAATACATAAATATCATCCACAGTGGTACGGTACTAAACAGTGTAGTGCAATCTTCTGAAGGAAAATGTTCCCAAATTTTCGCCAAACAAGAAGAAGCACAGCTGTGTATGACTGGAGAAGAAGGAATCATCATCATAAACCAATAAAGAATGTATTCCTTTATTGGGATATTGTCTTTTTTTCCAACATTTTTGTTGTGTGAATCAGTAGGTTTGAAGTAGTACACAGTAGGTGAGGCTTCCCCTACCCCCAACTTGCAGAAAGTCTTAAGCCAGGTAAAAACAAAAAGTCTATGTTTTATTCTTTAACTCGACATTGATGCTGTGCTGATTTCCTGTTTAAAAAAATCAGAATCAGCCTTGATTGGCCTTCTGGAGAACCTTTTATATTAGGAAATGCTGCAAGAAAAGTTTAGGTCAGGGTGCATAGCTTCAGGGAACACAAGCTTCATTTACAGTGGGTAGAATTAAATTTGATAATGTTACCAGTTATTTAATGAAATCCCTGATCGATATTATTCATTAATGTGTGGTCGAGAAAGGTTATGAATGTACAAAAAAACTGTTTTGGTACAAACACCACTATATTGTACAACATCTTGTCATTTTACTAAATTGCTTGAAGTTGCCAAAACAGTAAAAAAAGACACCAGTCACAGGGAATCGCAGCCCTATAAACAGAATTGGAATTATTTTAATGCTTGGCTGTGATGAGCAGTATTAACAATTAATGGGCCTAAATGTATGGGCTTAATAGACCATCAATGTGAAGTATATGCTGTCTGCTGAAACGGTATCTTTCAAATAAAAATTATCGGCAAACTGTAAACTGTCAGCATGGCTGGATCCCTGGAGAAAGGTGACATCATTTTTTGCAGGGAACTGATTGGTCTGTGAGTCAAGCTCTTAACCTCAAAGTCAGGTCAAGTTTAAATTAACCTGCCCAGGAGCATCTTAAGAATTGAGAATATGTTGCTAGAGTTATTTAACCAGATGCAGTTTGGTCTTATTTCACTTAGTTTTTTATTTATTTGTCTTTTGCACTTCAGTGCCACTAGCTCTTCAAACTAGTGCATATGTGAAAAATGTCCACCTAAAACTCTACCTGCAAACTATTTTTCTCTCTTTACTGAGTTGTAAAAATAACCCACAAGAAAGAGCTAATTATACTCCACAATTTCCACAATTTCACCCAGTTTATTACAGTATTTATTGTAAACAGCTGACTGTAAGGCACACATGTGTGCATCTACTGAAATTCTGTTTTTCCTTTGTTTTTCCAGTGTAGTTCAGATACCCCCCAGAGAAGATGAAGTGTTCTATCATGTTGTGGCCATTGTCGACCCAGTGAGCAGGGAGGCGCAGAAGATGTCATCTCTGTTAATTGTAAGAAGAGATCTTAGTATTGTTGTTTGATATAGCATCTGTTGAGGTGTGATTCTCTTGCAATTAAATCCAAATGAATTATCCCACCTGCTTTTTAAAGAGAAGTCACCTTTCAGGAGTTTTTTCTCCCACATGACACTGTCAAACACTGAAAAGATCAGTGCACTAAAGAGGCTGTAAACTTAATACACTGAAAAAAATAGTAGTTGTGTGTTGCCTACTTTTTTGGAACAGATACTCTAAATGCTGTCTATTGTTTTGATAGTTGGTTAAGTTATAGGTTCTTTTCCAAGCTCTGTCAGTGCTTTTAATCTACTTATTTTTGTCTTTAAGCTCTTGCCTGTTTAGAAGAATAGGGCATATTCTGTTATTAAGTGCTTCAAGATCATTACATTTGGCTCCTTTACTTGGTCAAAAAGCACAACCCACTGCCTGTATGTTCTGTGTTAGTGGCATTGAAGTTTTCATGCATGAAATACTGGACTGTGATCAGTGTATACCATAGACATTAAGTGCAGCCCCCTGTAAGTGAATCTGATTTCGGAATTCCCCTAATTACACACCAGTTAGCTCAGATTAGATGTAAGGTTTGGCACTGACGTATAGTGTTCATATCATGCAATAGAATCCATAGTATTCTAGTTCATTATTTTGCCTTGCAAATGGGTGTTGGTGCATAATAAGACCTGTAAACATTTCTTATTTGCCAGTATGCAAACTAAACAGTTTTGAGTCTAATTGCAAGCAAATGGAATTCACTTTGATGATGAGGGAACGTGCACGACAATGGGAAATCACTGAGCATGAGCAGCAGGGCAAGCTAGTATTTACACAGTAGCCGTGTCACACTGACACTCACCTGCCATTCAACTCCAGTTTCCATGGTAATTAATTCACAGATGTCTTGTACCACCTGGAGGCAATTATTCACCATGCCCACCTCAGGTAGTTCAGGACTACATAAGCTGTGATCTGGCAGTACTTGGGAACTCTGTCATTGAGCTCACTACATCTCTAGCTGCTCCCTGAGTTCCCAAGTTCTCTCTGTAAAGGAACAAGTAATAGGTTTATTCCATGCTGAAAAAAAGAAGAAAGAGAACACAACGTTTTGGCCGTGGAGCCTTCTTCAGATGTCACACCTGAAGAAGGCTCCACGGCCGAAACGTTGTGTTCTCTTTCTTCTTTTTTTCAGCATGGAATAAACCTATTACTTGTTCCTTTGCAGCCTACGCATGCTGACGCAGCTACCCACCTGAAGTTCTCTCTGTGTTTGCTTCCTGTATCCTGGGCCCTTGACTTCTTTCTCTCAGTTCTCCTCTGAAGCTTGCACTATGTCCCTTGGTTTTAACGTTTGCTTGTCCCCATTCATGGCTCTGGACTGTGTTTACCTGGACCATGCTTGCCTGTGTTTACCTTCATTGTGCCTGTCTATCTCCACTGCCAGCTACTAAAGCACCTTGCTGTCTCCTCACGCTGCTGTTGTTCTGTTCACAGTTGTTTCTCTGCCTGCTTCTGGGTTTATTAAGCAAAAACCTTTTACTGCTGTTACTGCAACATATTACACCCATTTTCTTCATTACTGGCAAATTCTGTGAGCTACCAAAACTAGTAGCTTAAGAAAACATGAGATTTAGACTGGCAAAATACATATATGTGTCCTTACAGTATATGAGTCTCTTGCCTTTTATGTTATTGGTAATGGCATTTATATGGGAACAAAAAATACTGTACTAGTAAATTATGCAAGAATTAAAAGGATTTACGACAATAATATTTAAGGAAATATTTTCTCTCTCTGTTTTAAGTACCATTTGCAGTGGTTTTAGTAGAGGAATATGGTCTAGACACAATAGGAAATGATCATTATTGCATCTAGAAAGGTTACTTTTAAAGAAACTAATTTATTTTATTTTCTGTGAAATAACTGGATTGCTTTCTCCATGTTTTTCTAGGTGCTCAGTCAAGTGATCAATATGAAGCTGCAGGTATTTATGAACTGCAAGTCTAAGCTTTCAGAGATGCCTCTGAAGGGGTAAGCAGTGAAATATAATTAAACTCCTGTTTATGTGTGTGGACACCCAGGGGTCAGAGATATTTTTACACAAGCCTCTGCTTTGACTGAACAAAAACCAATAACTTGTAGTAAAAATGTTTGCTAGCTGTATATTAACTTTTTATTGTTGTGGGGCTCTTTTATACATTGTTTGCTAGAACCTGCTTTTAGCCAGATTGGGTGAGAGAACCAAAGGTCAGAGGGGCACTAAATGTTTGTAAAAATGATGTATATTATATATACTGTATGTAACAGAGACCATTCAGTGCTATTTTATTACTTACAGATATGGCAGCTTATACTGTATGCTTTACACTTTCAATGCCAGGCTATAGAAATTCAGGGGTATCGGGTCTTTTTGTATATACTGTAGTTAAGAGCCTTAAATATTTAGTAGGTGGTGTTCATTTTCCATGTTCATCATCATAGCGCAATCACTGGGTGGAAAAAATTATGAATCAGTAAATATAAAATGTCCATCCTTTGATCTCATGAACATAAAAAAGAAAGGTACAGATGCAGCCATTCAAAACGAGCGGGCGATAC